AATGAAGTTGAGCCCAGGAAGAAGGGTGAGGTGGGTGGGGGGAGAAGGTGTTTTTCAAGATTTAGGTTCAATTTCTCATTAACCTACTAGGATTTGATAGGCAATAAATTATATCAATCTCCCCGAGTCAAGTCTGTTCTGCCCATGACTGTAATGGGCATGTGATCCCTCCCTGTGATTCTCTTGACCCAGGAGCCTTTGGCTGTACTTTCTCTCCCCTGCTCAGCTGAGGAGGAGAAGGATAGAGCGGTGTCCAGCCAGGGTCAATCCACCACACCATCTATAGCAAAATTTGCAACTTGCTTCTCACTATTAATCCACCAGTCACAAGTAACTACAAAAATGTGATTTTGTTTTGTACTACTACACAAAACAAATTATGATACTCTGAAAGCCATCTATATGTAACAGACATATACAGTAGAAAACAACTGCATGCAAAGCCATGAAAGTCCATTTGTTTACTATAGGTTTGTGCCTCAAAGTTGCTCAAGTATTATACAAGACGGTCCAAACAGGATTCATACCTCTATCTGGGTTATTTGTTTGGGTTTTCCTCAATTTTTAGTCAACATGGTCTACTGAAAGCTTCTTTGAGAAAAAGGTTATGAGAAGTTACCAGTGTCCTCTGAAAGATCTGTTATTAGGACTCCACATTTTCTTTTTAGAACTTAACATGACTAGACCTAACTGGAAGGTTTTCCTATCCTCTGGGCCTGAGCTGCCTTCTCAGCTTCCCTCCCCTACCTGCACAAAGCATCTGTCCTGCCAAGCTTCAGGCTTCCAATACCTGCCTGTACACTCCTCCTACTATCCCAGCCAGCCCAGGCTATATTGGTCACCTGGCAAGAAGATTCAGTGAGGGTTGCAAAACAGCACGTGTATTATCTTTCTACACTTGGGGAAGGGGGAGAAAGGAGCAGGGAGAAGATGGTTTTAAGAACAGTACAAAAACACCTCTGAAAATTCCCAAAATCTTCACCCTTCTATCAAATTTTAAGTTATCCACAAGATTCAAATGGTATACAAGATGCAAAAAGACATTACATTCTCTGACAAATGTCAAGGAACAGCGTTCTCCAGAAGTGATGTTTTCTGAACCTAACCACCATTCAAAGAAATAAAAAACTCCACAGAAAGATATTAGGTTCACCTCAAGTCTTTTTTATGTATTTTTTCTTAATTCAGGAAATAAAAAAGTGGTCAGACATGTCACAGAAATCAAAAAGTAGCAGTGACTTAAATTTTCAAGTTGAGACAGAAGTCCATGCCTCAAAGAAACACAGCTTTCAAGAAACTTCAAATTGGCTGCCAGTAACACTTTTAAAGAACTTCTAGAAAGTTCCAGTTGCAGGCTAAATACCTGATTTATATTATTTATATATAAAACCTCAAATATATAAGGCTGATTATACTGACCTCAACTATAGAATGCTCTAAGTGCCTAGCATCATGCACACCAAGAGAATCTCCATAAAACCACCAAGAAATTTTACATTTTGAAGCAGCATTTTGTAGTTAGCAATCCAAGCATTCCCAGAGTTTCAAAAAACACAGCAAGCAGTTCACTGCAGATAAAGGAAATAGCTTCACACAGTAAACAGCAAAGAATGCATATCTCAGACAACACCACAGTATCATGCAGGGGAGGAAATCAAAGCCTCTGTAATTTAACACTGATAAATTAATTAGAAAAAAAAATCTGAAGTAGCCTCAGCTACTGCTTCAGACAGTTACTTCATTACAGGAGCAGCTGCAGCAATTGTAACAGAAGCACTAATAACAGCCGGCTCAGTCAACTTAGAGACTTGTGCATCAAATCATGAATGATGAGATCACTGCAGCAATGAAAACAGCAGGGGAAAAAACACTTTAAAAGATTATATGGGGCAATATTGTCCATCCCATACACATACTCTGACTGCACTTGACACAGCAATAAGGTGGATTGAATGTCAGCCAAGAAAATAATTCAGACGCAATTCAATTCCTTACTCGACTGGAGGTACGTGACTTTGCAACATGGGAAAGAACTGATGTAAGAAGTACTTGAAAGTAAAAGTCACACACATCTATGTAGTAAATGTGCCAGTAACACATTTTATCTTACATTAATAGTCTTTTTGTCATGACAATTCTCATAGGACCCCTGGTGTTGAACTACTTAAGAAAACAGAAATACCTCTTCTCTATTCAAAAGATACAAGGTTTTCCAATTCTGATTACGTCTTTTAAGACTCAAAACTACATCAATGTCTTCTACTCACCATTTGTGATATGCTAACAGTCAAAATTCTAAAGCAAGTCACCTTTTGAACTTACAGACCATTCCCACACACACTTTATTAAAATACATTTCTAAGTAATCTGAGGGCAGTAAATTGGGAATAATTCTGTATCTTCTGCAACAACTGCTTTAAAACACCCATACTGTCACCTTTTCATTGAATTTGAAGTATTGGAAACATAAACAGAGTCCTTGCCACTGCAAGCAAAGCTCCTGCTCTCCTCCTGGGCTGGATGACAGCCTGCACATAGCAAAGTCGCAAGCTGAGGAGTACAGGGCTGCAAGTCAACCTGAGAGCCCGGCCATCTGCCAGCAGTCGCTCAAGACAGGGAATGCCAACTGCATTTGGAGCAGCCAGCCAGGCTCAGGACTTTATTACAGTCAAATACACTCTCCTAGCCCCAAGAAGCCATCGATGGTCTCTCCTGGATGACAACACAAAGGGTGCAAGATTACTTTTCCTAAAAGTAACCTAAGCCATTTATTTATCATGAAATTTATTACTGTGCATAGCATGAAGATTTAATTTTCTTTACTGGAGTTATTTTACCATTACTCAGCTCTTTCCTATCTCTTCCATTTCCTTTCCTGATCTTTCAAATTCCCATTAGCAACTGGGTTCACTCCCTGCCTGCCCTCTAAGGCATCCAGAATAGGAAATTAAACACTAAAGTCAAAATTGGCATGATAGGAAAGATCAAAACAATTCTCACTCAAGACTCCCGAAGATTTAAGCAGGAGTATTTCTGGGTCCACACTTCTGCAGCTGTGGTATTTCAAGATATGACTTTGCACATTTTTGAGGCTCTAGTAACTAGTCAGACTCAAGTCCTAGATCATACTCACATATGGCAACCTAAGGCACGCACAGCACAGCAGCTGAAGAGCTGATCATCTAACACAACCAAGCCAAGATTTAATAACTCTAGACTGGCTGCAGACAACTTCCAATGCACACATGGAAACACCCAACCCACCATATGTCTAAGGGGGATCCTTCACAGAAAATCTGGAGTTTCTACGACTCTCTTTTGCCCTCCAACTTTCTTCTCCAGGAGGAAAACAGTCCCACATCACCATACATCTTTGAAGTGAGTTGTGTAAATTGTGCCAGCGTTTTTTTCTAGAAAAGCATGAAGAAAACAGAAGTACCAGGAACAAAATTTATGCACCAGCATAAGTGGGTGCACTTCTTGGTTGTATTCTGGGGATCTGTCAAGAGCAATGAAAATTTAACGCAGACACCAGCCTCATGACTGAGCTCTTACTGCAACTCTGTGATAAATACCAGTTCCACTGTATTATGAATCACTGTTCCCTATCACACCTGAAATACATTCAGATTAGCATGCTGTGCACTCAGACAGCTGGATAGGTGTCAAAATCGGTAAGATTGGTCTTCTTTATTTTTACTACTTACTTACAATTCTGAGCACTAATTGTAGTTAGCTCTGTTTCACAGAAGACAAACACTACTTCTGTCTTATTTTACCTCATCATCTCTATCACCTACTTGATGACTTCTTGGACAAAAAAAAAAATTGTATTTTTTTGTCCACTACTTAACAGTTTATAAGTTAATTTATTTGCAGTGTTTACCAACTGAGAGAGCTTCAGAGTATTAAAAACTAACATCCATTCATTGTAACAGGCCATAGCCTGTTAGGATGCTGTCATTTCCTGTGAGGGCTAACCAACCTTACTGGAATCACTTAATAACTTTTGTAAAGAGAATGATCATCCATTCAGGGGCTTCAATTCACACCATTACAAATCGAGTAGGAGACAGCAGCACAGCAGGAGCAACCACGTGAGCTACAGGACCGAGCTGTTTGATAGCTTGCAATATAGCCACCAATAAGTGTCTCCAAATTACTCAAGTCTTATGCTGGAACCGAATTCGGAGGATCTGCTGAAAATACCCCAAAGTTAAGAGTCCTTGCAAAGCTTGGCAAATCACAGTCGAAACATGATACCGAACAGCCAGCACGACACGTTAATAGAGTAAGGGCCGACAGCTCCGAGCAAACGTAGCAGTAACCGGGCTGTCCCAGCGTGGACCACCGGTGCCAATGTCCCGACGCACACACAGCTGTGGCCCAGGTTTAACTGCTCGCTGTGGCTCGTCCCTCACCGCACACTGGGAAGCCGAGCACGGCGCCACCGCCGCCCTCCCCCGGGCCAAGCACGCCGAGAGCTGCGCCGGGAAGCCGGGGCCTGGCGGAAGCCCCCAGTGAGAAGCCGCAGGGCCGGCGGAAGACAGCGGGGGATGTGCCCGATGTCCTTCGAGCTCCGGACCCCGAAGGGTGCACAGACAGCAGCGCTCGGCAGCCGCGGGGGCCGTAGGGCGCCGCCGCCGCCCGAGCCATCCCCGCAAAGGGCGCGGGCCCGCGCCCGCCGGGAGGGCCCGGCCGCTCCCGCCACCCGCGCGCGCCGACACAGCGCGCGGGGGGCCCGCGGCGGCGGCGGGAAGCGGCGGGGCGCGGGCGGGACGGCAGCGAGGCGCCCCTCGCCCGGCAGGGGCGGGAGGAGGCCGGGGAGGCGGCCCTGCCCTAGCGCGGCCCAGCTCCCGGGCACCGGAAGCGGCGCCCGGCGCGGCGCGGCGCTGCCCTCGGCGCGGCGCTGCCCTCGGCGCGGGACCCCGGCCCGGCGCGCTCTGCGCTCCCGGCCGGCACGGCGGAGCGGCGCGCGGCGGGCAGGGCGCGGGCCGTACCTTGATGATCCTGCGGGGCAGCCCGGCCATCTTGTCTCGTCGGTGCAGGCTCGGGGCGCGCCTCCGCTCGGGGCGCGCGCACGGCCGGAAAGACCCGCGCCGCGCTTCCTGCGGCACCGCCCTGCGCGCGCGGCGCCGGGAGATGTAGGATAGAGGGATGGGCGTGTGGGGTCCGCGCCCGCCGTGGGCGCAGAGACGCCGCCGTCAGCGGGGCCGTGCGTTGTGAGCGCGAAGCGTCTGTTCGTCCCTGACTTTTAGCTTCTGTGAGTGTCCCTAAACCTGTCTCTAAGGTACCTTAGACCATCAGTGCCTAAAACGCAAGGACCTACTGGCAGAGTCTAGTAAAGGGCCACAAAGGTGATGAGGGGTCTGGCACATCTCTCTAACGGGGAGAGTCTGAGGGAGCGGGGCCTGTTTAGCCTAGAGAAGAAAAGACTGAGAAGGGATCTCATCAATACATAAAAATATTTCAAAGGTGGGTATCAAGAGAATAGTGACAGACTTTTCAGTGGTGCCCAACAACAGGACAAAGAGCAATGGCCATAAACTAAAACACAAGAAGTTCTATCTCAACGTGAGGAAGAACTTCTTGATGTTGAGGGTGGCAAAGCACTGGAAGATGCTGTCCGGAGAGGTTGTGGAATCTCCCTCTCTGGAGATACTCAAAACCCACCTGGACATGTTGCTGTATCACTTGCACGTGGTGACCCTGCCTGGGCAGGGAAGGTGGAAATAGGATCTTCCCTAACAGTTCTGTGATCTTTGTCTTAATAACACCTAGTTAGTGAACTTTGTTCTTTTTCAGCAGAAAGAGGAATATTGTAAACATTGCAGTATAATTATTGCACGAGCATACTAGGACATTACTACGGCTGTATAGTAATAGTAGCATCTAAGAATGTGTGTCATTATTTATGGGAAGTAAAAGCACAGAAAGAGGAACAATTTCCCATAGGTTGCTCAGCAGGCCAGCAGCACAGCCAGGAATAGAACCCTATGTACATATGAGTCCCTATCAAGTGTTCCGGTTTAAAACAGGACATAATTTCTGTGTACTCTGGTAGAAAGTAAAGTTCTCTGGCAATTGCAAATCTAGGCAAAAGACTCCATGACTCCAACACTTATTTAGATTTCAAAGCATCTTCATTGAGCCACACCCTCAAGACAAAAGTTATTGGAAAATGATGTATTTTGTTACAGTGCATGCTGAATTACTTCTCTTTCTTTGTTTCTGCCTTCACCCCTTTTTTTTTTTTCCTCTTTTACACTTCTCCCAGAATATTGTCCATTAAAGGACTGGCATACATGGAAGAAAGCATGAGCCAAAAGTTTCTTGAAAGTCTGTAAGACACAACAACTGAGTGAAGCACAGCTGGCTCAAATAAATGCTCATTGGTGTTGAATTCAGTGTCTCCTTACAAGTGTTGTAGACCAGGAATCTTGCTTCAGCTGGAAGTTGCAGCTGAAGGAAGAAGTTAAGTCAGCTGAAGTTGCAGTTAGGTCAATCTGGCTTATTATGTTTTGACAGCTTTTGTTGCACAACAAGTGGTTTGTCACATCCTGGAAGATTTCATTATACCTCTCCTTCTGGCTCCTTTTATGAAAGGGCTTTTGAAGTCCACTTGATCAGGAGATGGCAGTGAACAAATACATTGATTTCTGTTGTCATATCTACAAAAATTTAGATTGTTCCCCTAAGCTATTTTAGCTCCTAGAAGGACTGCTGCAGAGATCCGAGTATCCATATTGGGCTGGAAAAGCCATCCAAACTGGCTACTCCGGAATACCAACTGTAGACTGGGGACCTGTAGTCCCCATTCAAATGGGCATTCATTCCTACAGCCCAGCTGCACCAAGGCCTGCCTCCACAGTGGGGGTTATTGAGTGTATAGTTTCATGTCAAGGGCACACCACTTTTTATTTGCTTTGCTGCTAAAGAGGGCTGCTGCCCTTCTCCTCTGCCACACACTTCTGTTCCCTGAGCTCACACCATGATCTTTCAACTAAGACGAGCTGATCAAAAGCACAAGTGGCTCCTGGGTGAGCAGTGAGCTGCTGTGAACCACAGGCAGTCACACAGCTCTACAGGTGAAGCATAAACAAGAGGACTGGAACCCATGCCTGAGGGTGTGAGAAAAGGACTTTCAATAGTCCCCTGCACTAGGGATAGTGTGGAAGCACATACTCAAGGTTAAGTTAGACCAAGCAGCTGAGTCAATCTCTTAAAAAGAGGACTTCTTTCTTCCCTTTCCCACCTCACTCCTTCTACCTTCCTTCCTTCCACATGGCATTTTCCCACTGTTCATTCTGTTGAGCTGATGCAATACTAACTTGGCAGAAAAACATCCATTCAGTGTAGTCTTTCGCTGGACTGGTGAATTGGTTTGTCCTACACTGGGGTTGGCAAGCCCCAGACAACAAAAGGTAATAGAAGTGGGAGTGAAATTGCATGCTGTGGTATCCATGAGTAATTAATGTAGCTTTGGATGCCCCTCAGCCTTTTGGAGAAGCTGCAGGAAGCACTGAGGTCGTGCTCCCTTTCTGTGCCCTGCATTCCTGATCCACTCTTGTCATCGGTATGTATCTACTGGGGTATAGGGGGTTGTTGTTGGGTTTTTTTTTTTTTTTTTTTGCTAAGTTACCCTTCTGACCAGCTCACTGCGGCATCAGAGCTGGCACAAGAGAAGCAGCTGGAAACAGAGTGAGATGGTGCAGGTGTAGGACCATCCCCTCCCGCAGCAGTGACCTGTTCTGTTGGCTGAGCTGATCTTGTCCCACTGCACCACTGCAAAGGCCAGGATGGAGAACACAATCCTCCTCCCACAAATCTGTGATTATCACATCATGCCGGAATTACAGTGGTTCCAAGAACAAAGTTAGGCAACCACCTTATTCACCAACAAAGTGTTCTATAATGCTACTACAGGCAGGGAAGGTAAAGAAGTAATTGCAATTAGGCAATTAATTAATACACCCAGAACAATTCAATACAGCTGCTGACCATCTTCCTGTCACAGCTTCTGCTGTCATCAAATTACCATTGACTTACTCACTGAGTGGGTGTATCCAGGCCAGCTGAGCCTGTGGCTGACTAATCTTATTTCCTCCTCCTAGCCCTCTTTGCAATCTTATAGAAGTTTTACTGTAATTACAACTCTCTTTCAAAAGCCAGATTCTTTATTTTTGCATAAAAGCCTTTCTATATTTTTGCCAAGTATTGTAGAAAATCTGTTCTACAGCAAAAACCAGATGTATGTACACATACAGAATGAATATTCACAGTAATATCAAAATTTTATATTAAAAATGTTCAGTAAATCCCAGAGTAATTCCACAAGAGTTGCTATGATGCCTATGTACAAAGGAGGAAACTAAGGCACAGAAGTGCAGTGTTTTTCATTCAGCAGTAATTTAAAGTGTCATTGGACAATTTCAGAATTATCTAAACTGGCAGGACTGGGTGAAACTGTATTGAGAGAAGAAAAAAACACCACTAGTTATATGTTTTACCAACTTAGAACATCAAAATGGGATCCTAGGAGTAAGAGCCTTCATTGTAGAGAATAATTTTTGATTTTTTTCATTAAGTGGCTGCTTGAATAGAGACAGTATTGTTTCCTTGAACTATGGTAATCAACAGGAACACAAATTATTTAGGCTACATATGACTGCTGAGGCACTGTCGTTTTGTCATCTGTTATTTACAGTTTCAGCTGCCTCTTCATCAGTAACAGGATGGACCAGTGATGAGATGGTGTGAGATATGCTAGAGAATAAAGAGGGCCTACTGACATAAGCCTTTACATTTACTCTGGGTGTTTATAGACTGACTTAAAACAGAAATCTGTCTGTCTACAACATAACTTGAGAAAACTTGAGAATTAAGACCATAACTAAACTACAGTGTCTCATTAGAAATTTGATTTCTACATTTATAGGATAACCTCATAGAAATTAAGATACAGCATTTCAGGAGTGGAGACCCATCCATCCCCATTGTTAAGACACAACTTTGCAATGAAACACATCCATCCATTCACAAATTCAGGTCCACTTCTAGGTATGATTGTGTAGTACCTTGCCAATTTAAAAGGAAATAAAAGAAGCCAAATGCTTATTCCTAGGAATATTTTGAAACATTGGTTTCTATGAAAACAATAAATGTGTATTATATTCCATTTGCCAATGATCTAGCCTGAATGATTTTCCTAAGAAACAATTTCCTAAATATGCCACTGCAGGAAAAAGAGCTAGAACAGCCAGGTCCTAATTTTCCATTTCTCAGAAGGGCTCTGTGTCTGTGTGTGCAACTGCTCACACAAAACCCACACCAGTGCAGATGATATCTCTGATTTATAAATTTTTTACTTCTAACACAGAGCCAACCAACATAGTCCTGCCCTCATCACTACATAGCGTCTGCAGCCTAACTATAACTCGGCCATCTGATCAATTGGAGCATTTTCTGGAGAAGTTTGTAATTCACTGTTGCAGTAAGAGCAGGTTGATGGTTTATCTTCAGTAAGAGAGCAACCTAGAAACAAAACTTTCCAGGTTTCCAGAGACATGAAGTCTCAGAGGTCTGGAACTCAGCACTAGTGCCTCCATAGTATCTCCAGAGGTAACGGAAAGAACAACCTTCCTGTTGAGCAAATACAGACTGAGTGAGTCTCCCCTTTGCTGTCTACAAGCTGCTGAGGCAAGCAAGGGCCTTGGCAGTTGTTATTAATAACCCCATCTCCAGACGTGCTGGAGAAGTGTGTAGTCACGCTTCTGAGCTGTCCTCAAGCAATTCCCATCTCCCTTTAGAAAGCTGTAATCTGTCAGAACATGCTGCTAAGAATACACTTGCAGAATATTATGCGTCAGGGAGGGGGTAGACCTCATCTACTATCTCCTAAAAATCTTTTTATAGAAACCACCTAAAAATAGCCTGGAAGCCTAACAGGGTATGTGGTTCAGTTTATAAGAAATAAAAATAAAAGTTCTGTGATACCTTCAATTGCAACTTTTCAGAAGTAGGATTTAAGTTACAAGATTTGTCATTATGGGGGTGTTCTAAAGT